TAAGTTTTTTCTTGTTTAAATTTTGTCCACATAAAGATCAGTCCATAGAAGGTGATTAATTCAAAACAGATTTTAAATAAAACATTTTCAGATGTAAGTGATGTTAGAAAATTTAGTTTTCTAGCCTGTAAAGCATATATAGTACTTGTTTCTTTTTCTGTAATTCACAAAGGCTATTTAAAACTGGAGCTGTCAGCTCTGGCACATAAAACCCAATATTCATATATAACTGTGTAGCTAAGTGAAAAATTAGGAAATCAATGTACTCTCAGACAGAAGACCCTGAAAAATAATGAAATCTTATAGCCTGATATTGGAATTAACTCAAAGGGAACTAGCAAAGTTAAATTAATTGTCCAAACCCGTTGTTGGTTACCCAAAAATTGATTTAACTTTGATTGATTTAGCTTGGGGATGTGGCTAAGTTGTAGAGCACTGTTTAGCATTTCTGAGTCTCTGGGTTCCATCCCCAGCGTAGTATGTGAAGGTAGATAAGTTTAATTCAAGAGATTTGAACAAGTTCACTGAAAATACTCATATCTAGGGCATAGACAGAAATCTCTTTGGCAAACAGGACTGTTGCTGAGTTATTTTCATTTTTTTCCTTTGGTACAGAGAGCATTAAGATATGGTTTTGTATAACCCTGAGGGTCTCCTTCCATTACCATGCAATTTCCCTTCTCTCTCCCTTTCCCTCCCACCTCTCATCCCTGTTAAATGTTAATCTTCTTCTCCTGCTCTTCGTCTCTACTCTGATCTTAGTTACTCTCCTTATATCAAAGAAGACATTTGGCATTTGTTTTTTAGGGATTGGCTAGCTTCACTTAGCATAATCTGCTCTAATGCCATCCATTTCCCTGTAAATTCTATGATTTTGTCATTTTTTAATGCAGAGTAATACTCCATTGTGTATAAATGCCACATTTTTTTTATCCATTCGTCTATTGAAGGGCATCTAGGTTGGTTCCACAGTCTTGCTATTGTGAACTGTGCTGCTATGAACATCGATGTAGCAGTGTCCCTGTAGCATGCTCTTTTTAGGTCTTTAGGGAATAGACCAAGAAGGGGAATAGCTGGGTCAAATGGTGGCTCCATTCCCAGCTTTCCAAGAACTCTCCATACTGCTTTCCAAATTGGCTGCACCAATCTGCAGTCCCACCAGCAATGTACAAGTGTACCCTTTTCCCCACATCCTCGCCAGCACTTGTTGTTGTTTGACTTCATAATGGCTGCCAATCTTACTGGAGTGAGATGGTATCTTAGGGTGGTTTTGATTTGCATTTCTCTGACAGCTAGAGATGGTGAGCATTTTTTCATGTACTTGTTGATTGACTGTATGTCCTCCTCTGAGAAGTGTCTGTTCAGGTCCTTGGCCCATTTGTTGATTGGGTTGTTTGTTTTCTTATTGTCTAATTTTTTGAGTTCTTTGTATACTCTGGATATTAGGGCTCTATCTGAAGTGTGAGGAGTAAAGATTTGTTCCCAGGGTGTAGGCTCCCTATTTACCTCTCTTATTGTTTCTTTTGCTGAGAAAAAACTTTTTAGTTTGAGTAAGTCCCATTTGTTGATTCTAGTTATTAACTTTTGTGCTATGGGTGTCCTATTGAGGAATTTGGAGCCCGACCCCACCGACTGTAGATCGTAGCCAACTTTTTCTTCTATCAGACGGCGCGTCTCTGATTTGATATCAAGCTCCTTGATCCATTTTGAATTCACTTTTGTGCATGGCGAGAGAAAGGGATTCAGTTTCATTTTGATGCCTATGGATTTCCAGTTTTCCCAGCACCATTTGTTGAAGATGCTATCCTTCCTCCATTGCATGCTTTTAGCCCCTTTATCAAATATAAGATAGTTGTAGTTTTGTGGATTGGTTTCTGTGTCCTCTATTCTGTACCATTGGTCCACCTGCCTGTTTTGGTACCAGTACCATGCTGTTTTTGTTACTATTGCTCTGTAGTATAGTTTGAAGTCTGGTATCGCTATACCGCCTGATTCACACTTCCTGCTTAGCATTGTTTTTGCTATTCTGGGTCTTTTATTTTTCCATATGAATTTCATGATTGCTTTCTCTATTTCTACAAGAAATGCCATTGGGATTTTGATTGGCATTGCATTAAACCTATAGAGAACTTTTGGTAATATCGCCATTTTGATGATGTTAGTTCTGCCTATCCATGAACAGGGTATATTTTTCCATCTTCTAAGATCTTCTTCTATTTCTCTCTTTAGGGTTCTGTAGTTTTCATTGTATAAGTCTTTCACCTCTTTTGTTAGGTTGATTCCCAAGTATTTTATTTTTTTTGAAGATATTGTGAATGAAGTGGTTGTCCTCATTTCCATTTCAGAGGATTTGTCGCTGATATACAGGAATGCCTTTGATTTATGTGTGTTGATTTTATATCCTGCCACTTTGCTGAATTCATTTATTAGCTCTAATAGTTTCTTTGTAGAGCCTTTTGGGTCTGCTAGGTATAGAATCATATCATCTGCAAATAGTGATAATTTAAGTTCTTCTTTTCCTATTTTTATGCCTTTAATTTCTTTCGTCTGTCTAATTGCTCTGGCCAGTGTTTCGAGAACTATGTTGAACAGAAGTGGAGAGAGAGGGCATCCCTGTCTTGTTCCAGATTTTAGAGGGAATGCCTTCAGTTTTTCTCCATTCAGAATGATGCTAGCCTGAGGCTTAGCATAGATTGCTTTTACAATATTGAGGTATGTTCCTGTTATCCCTAGTTTTTCTAGAGTTTTGAACATAAAGGGATGCTGTACTTAGAGAGGAGGGGGGGGAGGGGAGAGGGGAGGGTGGAGGATGGGAAAGGCAGCGGAGCACAACAGACACTAGTATGGCAATATGTAAATCAATGGATGTGTAACTGATGTGATTCTGCAATCTGTGTATGGGGTGAAGGTGGGAGTTCATAACCCACTTGAATCAAAGTGTGGAATATGATATGTCAAGAAATTTGTAATGTTTTGAACAACCCACAATAAAAAATTTAAAAAAAAATAAAAAATAAATAAATAAAGAAAAAGCATTAGAGAAGGAAGGAATGAAGGTAAAGCTAAATATTTCATCTTTAATTCTTCGTTGATTTAGTGAATCAAGTCTTAATGTCAAAAAATGTACTGGGTATTTACAGATTAGGAATAAGTGAAATAAATACATGGCAATGATGTTATATGAGATGGTAGAAATCAATCAAGAATATTTTGTTATAAGGTACCTGAATGTCCCAGGAAGCAGTATAGGTGTCCCACCTCATCCATAGGGGATCTATTCCAAGGCCCACAGTGGGCTCTTAAAGCTGCAGACAGTACCAAATCCTATTTACAATGTGTATGTGTGTGTGTGTGTTTACTATATATACATACTGATGCTAATGTTTAATTTATATATTGGGTGCAGTAAGAGAAATCTCTTATCAGAACAAAAAAATAGAATAATTGTAGTCACACACTATAATAAAAATTATATTGTGTTGAAAAAAAAAAAGATATGGTTTTGTGTTATGGTAATTGAAAGGTATTCTCACAGACTGTCAGAAACACCCTGAATGAAATAACGCTTATGCTGAACTCATTAGACTTCCAGGGTCCTCTTGTTTTGAGCTTCTCATATCACAATGTGTGTTTCCTGAGTGTGCAAAGGACACAAGCCCAATTGCCAGGATGGTCACATTTATTTGGGGGGGGGGGATGAAGTTTTCAAATCTATACCATAGTGTAAAATGCAAAGTTGCCATGCATGTAAGGGAGCAAACATGAAATTTCAAAGAAATTAAGGGCATAGGAAGTAATGAGAAATTTGCCTTGTATTCTCCTTGGCTGGGGAGGACAATGCAGTACTCAGACAGAATTTCCACAGTTGAATTGTTGTGTTTCTAACTGGCTGAACTTTGGATTTTGTACTTGTAGAGTTTGTTAGGACCACATGGATGGTGATGAACTTCTGAGATCTTTTTTTAGAGGGGGGTAATTGGAGATTAAACTCAGGGACACTTAACCACTTAGCCACATCTCCAGCCCTATTTTGTATTTTATTTAGAAACAGGTCTTATTGAGTTGCTTAGTGCCTCATTTTTGCTAAGGCTCGCTTTGAACTCCCGGTCCTGCTGCCTCAGCCTCCTGAATTGCTGGGATAGCAGGTGCGCGCCACCATGCCGGTAACTTCTGAGATCTTAACCATGTAGAAGAAGGAGTAAACACTAGTGCATCATCACTCAGACTGACTGATGTGAAAGGAAGATGCACCAAAGTTAAGACCAGGGACTGGATTTTTAGCCCAGTGGTAGAGCACCTGTCTGGCATGTGTGAGGCCTGGGGCCCATCCTTTGCACTGCAAAAATAAAATTAAGGTTAGAAAGGGTTATTTTGGAAAGTCATGTCATGAGGAGACCAAACTTGACAACACAGGAAATTAGGATAGTTTACTCCACCCCCCCCCCCATGTTATTTTGTTTTATTGGTACATTCTAAGTATACACAACTTTGGGATTTGTTACATTTTTAGCACATGCATACAATGTAACAATACAATTTGGCTCTCCAGGACTTCCCCACTAGGATAGTTTTCAAGGTTCTGTGTTCAGTAAAATAAGCCAGTCATAAAAACACAAACCTCATATGTTCCAGTTACATGTGGGTGTTTAAAATCATCAAACTCATAGGGAAAGAAAAAAGAATGGCGGGTGTCGGCCTGGGAAAATGAAATTATGTAAAGGGTACAGAGTTCCACTTTTGCAAGGTGGAGAGATTCTGGAGGTTGGTTTTGCATCTGAATATGCTTCATGCTACCAAATTGAAACTTCAAAATGGTTAAAAGGGCAGATGACATGTTGAATGTGTTTTACCAAAGTTTTTAAAAAGTCAAGTTGTAAGATGGTTCATGTACCTCTCCTTTTTGTTTGTTTGAATTAAGCTTTATTACAAATTTTTTTTTTTTTCTTATGGGTTTTGTTTTGGAATGTTATTTCACTGTATTCTATTGTGTTTCTTAATAGGCACCAATTAAGAGCAGCAGCTATGGGGGATCCTGGACTCTTCAAATTGCAGTTTGCCCCCTTCAGCAGTGCCTTAGACGTTGGCTTTTGGCACGAGTTGACCCAGAAGAAGTTGAATGAATATCGACTAGATGAAGCCCCCAAGGACATTAAGGGTTATTATTACAATGGTAAGGTGGTAATAAACTGCCTCTCCTATCATCTTCTGGATCCTCTCTGTCCTCTAGTATAGTACCAGATTACTTATTTATCTATTTATTTATTATTTTTGTGGACCTAGGCCTTGCACATGCTATACATGCACTCAACCACTGAGCTACACCCCAGCCCTCAGCTTCCTTTAGAAAGGAACTCCCATTTCTTTTATATTCAGTGCTCTTCACTTTCTTTTTTCCTTTCTGACTTTCGACCCATGTTCCTTTTTCTTTTCTCTTGTTCTGGGGAAAAGAAATAGAATAGTAAAATGCAAGTTATTAATCTGAATACTGATTAATTAGTTTTATGGAAAGAAGAGATCCAAAATATTTTTCCCCCCAGGAGTCCTTCTTATAATTTTGGCAAATCCCTCACAAAATCCCTGTCACGTTCTGCCATTATCCATACAGACATTATCTGTGTGTCACAGATAAGCAGGGATTGGATGGTGCCCTTGGAGCTCCATCAACAAAGAGAACAAAACGATTGCAAATATTTTTGTTATGAATGCTACTGTTTCTGACTTGTTATTGAAGATGCAATCATTCTTCTGTTCAGGTGATTCTGCGGGACTGCCAGCTCGCTTAACATTGGAGTTCAGTGCTTTCGACATGTGAGTATTTATTTTCACAATCTAAAGAGCTGTTCTTGGAAAGGAGTGAGCATTCTCACCTCCCTCAGAGGTGGACCACAGGAGAAGCTGGAGAGGGTCTGGGGAGCAGAGCCAGGGCCTCAGGTTCTCTTGTGCCTCCTGTTAAGATAAGTGCTAGATGATTAGGACTTTCTGGTTCATTTTTAAATATTTTTTTTTAGGTGTCAATGGTTCATTTTTTCAGCAGAAAAAAAATTAATATTTTTCAGAGCCTTATAGGACCCAGCTACCATCTAGATTGAGACTTAGCGAACATCCCTCCTGATTTTGATTGTAGCTTATATTTTATGATTCTTTATTCTCTTGACTTACTCCTTTAGTAGCATATGCATTGATCAATGAATGTTTATTAAGCCAGATTGGTATAGGAGCCACTGTGCAAGACATTATGGGAATGTTCAAAGAATATGCAGATATATTTCTTTTTTAAAATCCACTTGGCAACTAGGGGAGTTGCTGGAGAGAAGAGAGGCATATACTGAACACTTAACTGGCTAGGCATTTCTATAAACTTAATCCTTTCAGATCTGCCAAGTGTGATTTTTCACTTTTTCAGATGAAGAGACTGTGGGTCAAAAGATAAAATGGGTCAAAAAGTCACAGCTAGCTAAATTTAGAAAGCACAGTGACAGAGCATTTGTGTTGCTCTCAGTGAGAGAGCACTTGTGTAGCATGTACGAGGCCCTGGGTTCCATCCCCAGGACTCGGGGGGGCCGGGAGCAAGGGTGAGGGGAAAACTAAAATGTATTCAGAAGCGTATTTCTGAATTGTAGCAGTTTTGGCTTAGAACATGTTGAGTTTGAGTGACAGTGTCCCCCAGAAATGTCAGAATGGACTGAGTCCAAGAGAGGGGTGAGTAGTTGGTGTGGTGGTCATCCATGCAGAAAAAGCTATGAGGCCATTTGCAGGAAAGAGAGCAGTGGATGAGAAGAACAGAGGGTCTGAGCAGTGAGTGGCCCTGATTTAGAGGATGCAAAACTGGGAAATGGATTGTCATAGGGCAGTCTGAAAAATGAAAAGTCCTATAGAAACCAAAGGAGGAAGGGCTTTGATGAAGGAGAAGAAGATCAACAATGTCAGAAGTCCAGAGGTCAGAGTTCAGTACAAGGGTCCTTAGGTTTGTGGATGAAAGCATTTGTGGTCCTTGTGAATTCATTTTCTCAAAGTTTACACAAAAAATTAGTACGGGGGAGGGGTGTGGTTAGAAGCATAACCATGTTGAGGGGCTTTAAGATTATGGAAGATTAAAGAAGTAAAGGCTCTGGTGAGATCCACCTCCACTGTCTGCTACCTCAGCAGGGTCAAGAAGAGGAATTTTGGGGAGAGCAGAAGTCTTTGTAAAGTCACATGGCTTCTCCAAGTGGCAGTAGTATAGTCAGTGGTTAGGCTATTGCAAATAAAGTGTCTCTAGAATTCTTCGTTTTATTTCTCAAAAAAATCAATACATTTTATTCTTTTATCTCCATCAGATTGCAAAATTAAAAGCATAACACAGGGCTGAGGATATAGCTCAGTTGGTAGAATGCTTTCTTTGCATGCCCAAGGCCCTGGATTCAATCCCCAGCACCAAATACTCACACAAAAAAATTGGCAAATCTTACTGTATATTAATTGAATTGTACCTCAATAAAATTGACACAAAAATTGTTAAAAAAAAAAAAGTATAACATAAACCCCAAATAGTGTTAGGCTTTATACATTTATAAAGTGTGTCTTGGCCTTTGGAACTTTCTTGATCCATCAAATTTCTGGTGATTACTTCTCAAAACAAATTAAGTACTAGTAAGCTCTCTTTGTGTTTTGGCAAGACTGATCAACTTTTCAGACTGCAATATAACAATGAAAAGACTGGAGGGGAGGGGAGGGGGGATAGTAGAGGATAGGAAGGGCAGCAGAATACAACATACACTAGTATGGCAGTATGTAAAAAAGTGGATGTGTAACCGATGTGATTCTGCAATCTGTATATGGGGTAAAAATGGGAGTTCATAATCCGCTTGAATCAAATGTATGAAATACGATATGTCAAGAGCTTTGTAATGTTTTGAACAACTAATAATAATAAAAAAACAATGAAAAGACTGAAAATGTACAAGCATTAAAACTTTTATTCTTTGAGACATTAGTAAGAAAAAATCAGCTCAAGGAAGTTAAATTTTATCTTATTACAAAATCCAAGCATACAAGGCTTGAGTAATCCATTTTGGTCAAAAGAAACTCTGTGATCCTGCAGCTATGACTGTCACACAAATTGCTTGATTACGCTGGTGATACTTTTTCCTTTACCCATTCAGTACCACCAGTGTGTGAATCACTCACTGTGGCAGACACTGGGGAGGTGAGCAGGAGGAAAACATGGCCCCTGTGCTGTGAAAATAGCCCTGAATTTGAAGTTTGAAGACCTGGGACTCATGGCTAATTAAGTGTGCTACCTCAAATAAGTCTTGTGTTTTTGTTTATTTGTTTTTAGCTTTCTTTTTCTCATCTCTGGGCTTCTAGTGTTCCCACTACCATTAAACGTCTGTGTTTTTCTGAGTCTCTCTTTTGTAGCATGATTAGGAATTTTAATAAAAGCATTTAGGACTTTCCTCAGAAGGTAGGAGATTTCTGTGTCCAAGTTATCTGTTATTGTTAGTTTCTTTGTTTTTATCATCATATATCTGCATGGGTTTGTGGGGGGAAATCTTTATGAATTTATTAATCAAACTGAATGTCTACAATTTGCAGGATTGTGGGTATTAGAAATGCAAAGACTTAGGACTCTCGGGCTCCACTACAGTATGAGAGAGATGGGGAGAGAGGAGGAGAGGACAGATATTTGCATTGTAGTGTGCTCAGTGACTAATAAATGTGGAGAGGTGATCATTATTTCAGGAATACTCATTGATTGCTTCCTCTGTGTCTTGATTATACTGTGTGCACTAGGCACTGGGCATTTGGAGAGGAAGGAGAAACGGTTGAGAGCGAACAGCCCTGGTTCTTAACTTTTGAAGCCAAAGGTGTCTCATGTTTGCATAGCACCAGATAAACCCCTTTGACTCTGGGCTCCTAGTCTTTTTTTTTTTTAACATATTTTTTGTTTTATTTGGGTGTTTTTGTTTTATTTGGATGCTGTGGATTGAACCCAGAGCCTCATGTATGCAAAGCATATGCTCTTAAGACTGAGCTACATCCCTTCCCCCAGGCTCCTAGTCTTAAGGATCTCTGTTAGCAGTTAGCAGCACCAGGATGCTGTTCTTTAAATTACATGGAGTGAATTGTCCAAGAAGTCTTTAATCAGGTGCCATGCCTTGAAGGTGAGAGTATGGTCTTAGAGTAGGTTGTGCCACTGAACCAGACCCAGAAATGGAAGAGCTCAAATGAAAGAAAGTTTATTTCTTGCTTACCTAATAGTCATCTGGTTGTCTTCCACCTTGTGGCTACATCATCCTCCAGGGCTTTGCCTTTGTGCTTTAGTTAAGTCTGAGTTGTCACTTTCAAGTAACAACTGGGAGATGGGAAATAGAGCCAGAGTGAAAATAGGTAGAAGTTGGAGGCCCAGCCGGTCTCTTAAAGGGCCTGGCTGGAAAGGGACATGTATTACTACTCCCCTCAGATTCTTTTGGGAAGAGCTGTGCCTTTCTGGCCAGAAAGACTGGAAAATGGTATGCCCGGCTATAAGCATTGAGTATGTCATCAGTTTCTGTTGAAGAGAAAGGTCGGTTTTGGATGACAATCTCTGTACCAAAGTGAAATGGTTAAAAAAAAAAAAAAAAATCTTTCCTGGGCCCTCTTTATCCTGAAGATTATTTATTTTTATCTTTAATCATAAGGAAATTTTTTTTCTAAGCCTCAAATTAGATCTGATTGGAAGAAGATAAGGCATAACTCTTGCCCTCAAAGAACCTAAAAAGTAGTTGTGCAAAAGCCTGTGTGCAGGACACAGGTTATGTCTGTCTTGTCCTCTCCTGTGCTACCTGCATCTACCATAGGGTTGGTGCATACTAGTTGCTTAAATAACTGTAGGCTGTCAAAATGGGATGTGATATTTTTGGAAAGATACCAGTGGACTCCATTAAGGATGTTATAAATTAAAACTCAGAGATTTTTAGGGAAAATAGGAGAAAATGAAGCAAGGGTGTGATTCCCCAAGCTCCCCATAGTTATGCAAAGCTGTTCGTGTGGAGTAAAGAACTCTGTAGGTATAAAACTCAACCTCTGTTCTTCTGGAGGATTTATTCTGTTCTGGTTACCTGCTGCCAGGAAATAACTGGTGCATACTACTGAGATTTTCAAAAACATTATGTCCCCACATAGGCCCAGAATTCAGGCCTTTGTGAAATCCATACTTTACCAGGTTTGTTAGTCAGCTTGGCATTACTACAACAAAATAACTGAGGCAGCAAACTTTATGAAGGGAAAAGATTTATTTAACTCCCAGTTTTGGAAGTTAAAAGTCCAAGATCAGGGATGGGGTGGGGTGGGGACCCATTTGTTTAGCCTCTTGTGAGGGAAACAAGTGGTGGCACATTATGGCAGAAGCATGTGCAGGAACGAAAGGTCATATTTTCAACAGGATGAGAGAGCAAGAGAAGGGTGGGGCCAATATCAGGCTTTTATAGCAGTGCTAGCAAGGAGTCCCAGGAGAACTGCCGAACTGCCTTAGGAGGGCATGTCCCCAAGGACTAGGAGCCTCCCACTAGGCCTCATCTCCTAAAGATTCCATCACCTCCCACTAGTAGCACCCTGAGGACCAGGCCTTTAACACGTGGGCCTTGGAAGGGCATTTCACATCAAAGGGCACCAGGTTAGTGTGTATATCATTGAAAATTCCTTCTTGGGTTTAGTATGTATAGGAGATTTCTAATTCATATTCTTTTAGCAGCTTTATTGAGAGAAAGTTCACCTGCTATGAAGTCCCCCCCCCCACTTTTTTAAAATATTTTTTTTTAGTTGTGGTTGGATGCAATAACTTTATTTTGTTTTTTTATTTTTTATATGTGGTGCTGAGGATTGAACCTAAGACCTCACATGTGCTAGGCAAGCGCTCTACTGTTGAACCACAACCCCAGTCTGAAGTTTCCCCTTTTAAAATGTACACATCAGTAGTTTTTAGTATGCCCATAGAGCTGTGCAATCGTCACCATTATCATCACTCCAAAAAGAAACCTCTAGTAGTCATTCTCCATCTGCCTCCTCCCTATACCCCAGCGCTGGGCAACCAAGAATCTACTTTGTGTCTGTGTGAATTTGCCTAGTTTGGACATTTCATATAAATAGAATCATAGTAAACTAAACTACAAAATAGTGTCAGAACTGAGTTAAAATTTCTCATCCCTAAGTATTGGGCTTTTCCTTCTATTATTAATATTATTATTATTATTTTTTTAATTTATCTCTCCAATAGAATTTTAGTCCTAAATAATGCTTCTCCTTTCCAATCCTCATCATTTATTACCTGGCCTAAGTGTTGGTGTTCCTGGGAGCCATCCTGGCAGTAGCTTGGGTTCTTAGGAGATAGGTTCCTCCCCTCTCAGAGCAAGGCTTTGACATGGCCCTCATGTATCTGTGACATTTGGACACTTGGGAAGAAGTGAAACTTCCTCTTCTGTACTTGTATTCAAATTAGTTCATAGCATCCTCCCTGTGCCCCAGGGTCCCATTTCAGCAGTAATTCCATAGAGTTAAGTCTGGGTGGAAAGGCCTAGCTTACCAACTGCTCTGCTTCCTTTTCCTTCCCTAAAGGTCTAATCTTGCCCCTTGTGATTTCTCTTTCTCCTCAAGTCTATCTTTGATGTCCTCATCTCACCTGGATGAAGAATATTCCCTTATTGGAGGAGCATGGTGACAAACAACCTGTGATTTGCTGACTCACAGCTCCCAAGGGAAGGCTTCAGCCTTTGAGCCATAGCTCTCTGCCTCCCTCCCCCAACTTGGCATTTGAGCCTCACAGGCAGCATTGGAGAGAGTTCTTATATCCTACCACACCTGCTCTAGGTTTAGAGCTCTTCTCCTTCAGCTCCCCAAACCCATTTTTTTTTTTTTTGCAGACTCTAAATGAAAAGACGCTGGTTATTTACACCAACCAGCTACCATTAGTGTAACGAGTAACAGTGCATTCTCTGCATTGGTTGTAAATGGCAGTAATATCAGGTCATTAATGAAATGCATATATTCATTTTGCATCTGTAACCTCTGAAACATAAGTTAATCATCTCAGAAGAGAGAGCAGATTTGTCCATGTCTGAATTTGTATTCAGAATCAACTCATCATCTCTTCTCCTAACTTTGATTTCTCTTAGGATCTTGAGGTCTTTGGGGGGCATTGTAGCGTGCATGAACCATGTGGTACCATGGATTGACAGGTGGCTCAGGCACAGGACATTTTGTCTGCTGACTCTGATGGCCCTCAGGGATTTGCTCAGCAGCAGCCATGTGCAGAGCCCAGATCGTGGAATAAGCAGAGGAAATGTGCTTACAGCTCTCTGGGAGCTTAGTGTCCTCCACTTGGGTGTAATGGCCATTGTTCTTACAAATGCTCTAAAATATTATGTTTCATTTTATGTGTCCTCTATTACCAGAGAAAATGGGAGCTGGCTTTCTGGAATAGAGGATTAGATCAGGGCCCTGGGGCCGGGCAGCACAGTGCCTTGAAGTCAACCAGTTCTGGTTTTAGATTTGACCGCCCAGAGTTATATGACCTGGGGCAGGTTGCTTGAGTCTTTAAGTGGGGAAAAGAGCTATTAATAAGAACTCACACTTGGCACAGTTCTTGACCCAAGGTTTTCCCTCTTAGATTGAATATAGGAAAGAATAAAAGATAGAAAAGGAACTTCTGTTTGGGAGGTAGTGAGGAGCAGCATGCTGTCGTAGGCTTCTTGGGGAAGAAGACTACTTCTCAGTCCTGGAATGATGGTGTTGGTCCCATGCTTAGTCTTCTCCCTTTCCAGCTGGGCGAAACTGGTTTCCTCGCCACTCCCCTGGTTCACACAGGGTCCCTGAGGTGCCTGCTAACTGAGTCTCTCTGTGTCTAGGAGTGCTCCCACGCCTGCACACTGCTGCCCTGCTGTAGGGACACTGTACAACACCAACACACTGGAGTCTTTCAAGACTGCGGATAAGAAGCTCCTTCTGGAACAAGCAGCCAATGAGGTTAGCCATTTTCTGTGGGCCTGGCAGGTACCATGTTTCTGATCGGGCACATGGGTCTGATGCAGAAACTAGTATATAATAAATACTTGAAGATGTTTGCAGGTCTCTGTTTATTTCTCTATAGAGAAATAAATAGCTCCTTCTGTACTGGCAAGAAGATCAGAGAGAAGACACTGGCTCTCAGCTGGACATAGGCCAGAGGGTGAAAACTCAGGTTTGCTGATCTCCAGTGAGCACTTTGGAGAAGCTGACCTCTCCCTGAAAGTTACATTCCTGTGGCTGAATGCATCCGGGTGCTCTGTGCCTTGTGCCCCAGAGAGGCTTGGTTGTCCTGTGCATGACGATGCCATGGGAGGTTAGTTATACAGAATCTCCAGCACTTTCAGGGCTAAAGCTAATCTGCTTCTGATTTATAAGGCCACTGTTGGTCTCTTTGGACTGTATTTGGTCACAGCAGATCAGCTATAACTCCCATCACCTGCTTTCTCTTCTCTCTTGTCTTTTTGGGACATGATGTTCTCTATACCTGGAATATCTTTCCTTTGCTTCATAGCTGAGTTAAAAGAATTTAAATAGGGATAGAGAGAAAAGAGAGGGACAGTTTATCCCAATCCTCCTTACCACTCTTAATTGAGGGATCTTTACACCAGTGTTAGTAAAAAAAAAGTCATCTTTTAACAAATTTTTATTGGTATGTTGTAATTATACAGAATTGTGGGTTTCATTGTCATATATTTGTATTGCACATTACATAATTTGGTTAAGACCAGTAGAGTAGAGGATGGGCACTAGAGGGAGGGAGAGGGAACAGAAAGGCCATGTACTGGACAATGAAATTGAATAAATGTCATCTTATATCCTGTTGATGGGAATGTTTATTTGTACAGCCTTTATAGAAAATAGTGTGACTGTTCCTCAAAACTCTGAAAATAGAACTATCATATGTTCCAGCAATCCCACTTGTGGGTATATACTCTTAAATATCCCATGTAAATGAAATGACTATATGGAAGAGACATCTGGACTCCCATGTTTATTGTAGCACTGTTCACAATAGCCAGGATGTGGACTCAACTGGGGTGTACATCAATGGCTGAAAGGATTAAGAAAATGTGGTACATAAATATAGTGGAATATTATTCAGCCATAAAAAGAGAGATCCTGTCATTTGCTGTGACATGGGTGGAACTAAGTGATATAGCCAGGCAGCGTATGACAATCACTGCATGTTCTTATCTTATGTGAAAACTGAAAATGTTGATCTCATAGGAGTAGAGAATAGAAGAGTGGTTACCAGAGGTTGGGAATGGGAGAGGAGAGAGAAAATATAGAGAGGGTGGATTTTAGGTATTAACATGAAGTGAGCTGGGAAGAATACATTCTAAGATTCTCTAGCATAATAGGATAATCAGTTTAAAACAATTTATTGCATATCTCAAAATAACAAGAAGAAAGGAATTTGAAGGTTCCTGGCAAAGAAATGAATATTACTCTGATTTTATCATTTTCCATTGTATGCATGGCTTGAATCATCACACTATATTCCATAAATATGTATAATAATTGTATGTCAATTAAAAGACTTTTTGAAAGTACCATGCTTAAAACAAAATCAACAATTGTAGGAGAACAAAAAAGAGGGGGTTTCCTATTTTTGTGGGCACAATGGTCAGGGAAGGAAATCTCCCAGCCGGACCCAAGGCAGGCTTCCCGTACATCCCTCTCAGTGGATGAGGCTCATGACTCAGGTGGTGATGGCTGGTCATTTTTCTTGACCTGTTACCTGACTGCCTCTGGATCTCTTGCCTTGGCTGCACACTTAAAAGGGAACCTCCAAAGAGTTGAGACAGTTCTTAATCTATCAAGGGAAAAAGTAGGTTGTCTTCACAGGAATCCCACCCCTTGACACTTGACAGGGGCTCAGACTTCTGGCAGTTTACACCTTACCTCCATGTTGGCTCATGAGAAAGCCAGGGCCTGCTGTTTCAGGTCCAGTTCCTCCAAGGCCATGATGTCAATGGGGAGGGCTTATTTCTCCTTGCTTTTTCCACAGCTGTCCTTGGGGAATGGTTCTTCTGTTGGGGTGACTACTTTGTCCTGCTTAGCAACACAAAGTTTAGCAGCTAATCTTAGCTACTAAAACATCTTGTGATCAGCAACTGCTGACCAGGACCAGCTTTAGCTTCCAAAGTACTTATGGAGTGTACATAAACTTGTATTTCATTCTCCTTTTCACCTCTCAAGGCAGGATAAACCCAAGTCTGGCTTTGAGAAATCCCCTCACTATAGTTGAGATCAGTTCCTTCGAGAATCCCTGCTGAGTGATGTTACCTACTTCTATGATAGCAAGTCCAGTCTGTTGTTACCTACTTTTATGATAGCAAGTTCTACATGGTGTTGAACTTGTACATTTATGCCTGTCTCTCTCCCGAGACTATGAGCTTCCTGAGGGCAGGGGCTGTGTCTTTTATTTCTGCAACCCTGTTGTAGAAAATGAGTAGGTAGCTACTGAAGGATGTCAGGAATGGACAGAAGTGACCTGGTTGTCTCCTTTATGCTGAGATTCCCATAGAGGAAATTCTTTGGCTGGAGGAGATGCTTTGGCTGGAGGAGACGCTCCCTTACTTAGCTCAGGAGCATGGCTGACAGAGAGGCACTGTCAAGTGGGCCAGGAAGTAATGACCTTCTTCAGTGCCCAGGATAAACAGTGCTGGGCCTCAAAACAAGAAGAGTCTGGGACTTCTCAGTTTCACACTTTGCTTGACAGTGAGAAGCTCAGAGTTGCCCGGCAACCTGTCTTAACGCTTTTCTTTCTTTTGGCAGATCTGGGAATCCATAAAGTCAGGCGCTGCTCTTGAAAACCCTGTACTCCTGAACAAGTTCCTCCTCTTGACATTTGCAGTAAGTAAATGGGCTCCCTGTTGTATTGAGACTGGTGAAATCCCCAGTTCATTCTGGTGGACCAAGAGGACGGTCTGCTCTCTTCTCTCTGAAGGTGTTACCTCGTGATATTCGTTATAGCTGTTAAAGAAGCTCTAATTTGATTAGTGGCTTTATTACAATGCAAAATGAATTCATTCGTACTGATCACACTGGTAGTAGTTGCATAGTTTCTATAACACAGTGACCCAACTCCTGTTATTAAGGACATTATAAAGTCAGGCTTAGGGAACAGTGGTTTCATTATTGCCAACTAACATCTTTGTTAAATACAGTCTGGCAAAGCTTAGTTGCTAGGCCCAGTGTGTTAACTGTCATTATGACAAAATACCTGAGATAATCAACTTATAAGGAGAAAATTTATTTTGGCTCATGGTCACCTGGCCCTGTTGCCTTTGGACCTGTGGCAGCACTCATGGCAGGAGTTTATGGTGGAGAAGCTGCTCATTTCAGGGTGGCTAGGAAGCAAAGAGAGAGTCAGGAAAGGAGGGAGGGGGGGTCCCAATATCCCATTCCAGGACACATCCCCAGTAACCTCATTTTCTTCCACTATGTCCCCTCCTAAATCCCCATCACTTGCCAGTGGGCACCACAGTCTGGCAACCAAGGCCTTAACATGTGGGCCTTTGGGGGACACTCCAGATTCAAACTGTAGTACCCCTTAAATAAGGGAAAAGAGCTTCTGGGTCAGAGGAGCTCACACGACGTGGATTGACCATACAATTTTTTTTTTTTTTTTAAACAAAGAAAGAACCAAGTGTGTTGTCATATGCCTATACTTCAAGTGCTCAAAGGCTGAGGCAGGACAATCACAAGTATGAGGCCAATTTGGGCAACATAGCAAGACCTTGTCTCAAAAAAAGTTTTTAGATAAAAATTAATAAACAAAGGAAAATGCCTTCTATATATATGATCTAATTTTAAAATACATTAAGGGAAGCCTTGAAGAGGAAAAGGAATCACATGAGGGTAACATCACTGCCTACAGTGGGTAGAGTTAAGGAGCTGGAGGGAAAGTCTAGGTCTCAGTGAAGAGGAAAGTTAGGGAAAGGTAAGGGCTGCTTGTAAAGATACTAGCTACGCACACACATGCAAATGTGTGTAGAGATGGTCCCTGGCTTTTGATGGTTTGACTTAGGATTTTTCAGCCTTGTCTGAAAGTGTATCCATACAACCATTCCCTTTCTCACTTTCAGTACAATGATCAATACTTTGCATGAGGTATGCAACACTTTATGGAAGAGGCTTTGGGTTAGATAATTTGGCCAATTGTAAGCTACTGTAAGTGGTCTGAGCACATTTAGGGTGGACTAGTCTAAGGTGTGATGTAGGTTAGGTATATTAAATGCATGTTTAACCCAGGTGATATTTTTAACTTATGATGGGTTTACCTAGACATAACCCCATTGTGTATCAAAGAACGTGTGTGTGCGCGCGCGTGCTTGCGTGCGTGCGTGCACATTTGTAAGTGTAAGTAAAACTAATTTGTCCTTTATGTTAACTGTATAATGTTCTGTCTAGTATGTATTCCATAGACTCCTGTTGTACATTTAGGTTGTTTCTTTTCTTTCCTTTTTTCCAGTGCTGGGGATTGAACACAGGGACGCTTTACCACTGAGCTATATCCCCAGCCCTTTTTATTTTATATTTTGAGACAGGGTGTTACTATTGCTGAGACTGGCCTCAAACTTATGATCCTCCTGCCTCAGCCTTCTGAGTTGCTGAGATTATGGTATAGGTGTGTGCCATTAGGTTGTTTCTAATGTTCTCTATTATAAAAAATGCTGCAGGAAGCAATATTGACCATATTGATATTTTTTTTTCCTGTTCATTTTATTTACTTAGAGTAAGTTCTTTGCTGTGGATGAAGTGTGTTTCATTATAGCTTCATCTGCTTCTCCTAAATGCCACCTCCCTTTTTTATTGCCTAAGCACAGAGGGAATGGTGGGACTCCAAAGATTATAGCAATGTGTGGTTATCTACAAGGAGCACATTTTCTAATAAGTTATGGAAATCATTTTTCTGAACATTTGATTACTTTTGTAGGTTCTCTACTAAGATAGATTTATTTAAATATTGCTAAATATTTCTGTTTTTTTTTAGTTGAACATTAAAACATTTCTTATACCAAGAATTCTCTTTAATAGAACATAAATAATAATTTTCCCTTAATGAGAAAAATAACAGCTCTGACTTAAAGTTTGGAGGCATTTCTCAGAGGTGTTATGTGTGTTGGCCTCACTGCCCTTTCTGAGTGTTCTTAGCCTGATTTACAAAAAAAAAAAAAAAAGAATTAATTTCTCTTTTAAAATCTTCAGGCTCAAAGAGCCTTATGTTTAATTTAACCAAGGTCCTTTGTATCCTGAAAAGAATCCTAAGAAATTCAAGCCTTTGGCTTTTGAAGATGACCTGATAAAACTCCTTAGAATGTGTGAGGTCCTTCATCTTGAATTGTTTAACCTTTCGCTAAAGATCAGTTATGACAAATCATTTAAGTACAAAGAAGAGAGAATCATCTCTGGGGGATGTTTTTGCTTTCCTTTCTGCTGTTTTTAGGCCTCAAAGGACCAGACAATTCATTAATTTCAATTTTTCAGTTTGTTTTGCCATCGTGAAAAGGGAGTTTTTTCTTAGTTGATCAATTAGTGGTAGAGTTAGACACTGTGGAAACTAATTAGTAGACCTTCTTATCTGGAAGCATGTTTATATGTAAATTTATATTTAAAGAGTCATCAGGTATGATTCCATTTGTATGAAAAGCCCAGAACAGACAAATCCATAGAGACAGATGATAGGTTAGTGGTTGTTTGCTAGAGGATAGAGAGGTAGGGGAGTAGAGAGCTTCTACTAGAAGGTACAGAAATGGCTATGGGCTGATGAAAATATTCTAAAATTAGTGGTGATGGTGGTTCAATTTTGTCCAAATTCTAAAAGAGAAAAAAATCCCACTAAAATGGACAGCTTAACATGGTGAATTTTATAGTATATAAATTATTTCTCAATTTTAAAAAGGTCATCTGATGAGCAAAATGGTGCATACCTGAAATCCAAGCAACTTGGGAGGCTGAGGCAGGAGTATCTCAAGTTCAAGTCCAGCCTGGGAAACTTAGCAAGATTCTGTCTCAAAATTAAAAATGAAAAAATCTGTGGGGGTGGGCCGGGGTTATGGCTCAGTGTAGAGCGCTTGCCTAGCATGGGCGAGACGCTGGGTTCAATGCTCAGCACCACATAAAATAAGTAAAATACAGGTATTCTGTCCAACTACAACTAAAAAATATTAAAAATTAAAAAAATAAAAAAGATCTTGGACTATAGCTCTGTGTTAGAGTGATCCTGGGTTCAATCCCCAGTACCAAAGAACAAAAAACAAAAAGTCATCCCACAGCCACAGTTTTTATTCTTATCAAGATTCAAGAAGAAATATTAACTAGCTAGATAACTGTATTAGTGTCCAGTTGTCACAGATAAGTGAGGAAGCTGCTCAGTACCCATGTAAATCTGGTACTGTACCACATGAGTGATGCAGGCCCCAAACACTGCAGGAATTCAAAGACAAGAGCCCAGGTGGGAGCAGTATCAAGGACAGCCTCATGAATCCTCTTCCCTGGGTCAAATCCCCGTCCTTGGGTTGCTTTAACCTGGTGTGGAAATGGCTTAAATCCCAGTGAAGATTGTTGCTCCTTTGTATTTGAAACTTCAGTGTGACTCTTATGGTTAATCCTGCACACATTTTATCTCTGTTCCACATAGAAAATGAGCTGCCTGATGGCTGGGCCGAGGTTGATTCATTTTATCAGAGTGGCTCATATTTTGCCTTGTACATAGCAAGTGCTTAATTAATAGTTGTTGACTTGAATTTCACCAGCAAGGCATTTCAAAAAGCAATGTTATATAGGTTCAGCACCCTTAATCTGAAACTTAAAAAAAATACTCAAGCATCAAAACTTTTTGAATGGTGACATATGATACCACAAATGGAAAATTCCACAACTGACTTTATGTAATGGGCTATAGTCAAAATACAGGCACATTAAAAATATCATATAAAATTACCTTCAGCCTGTGCATAAGATGTATATAAAATATAAGTGAATTTCATTTTTAGACTTGGGTCCCCTCCCCAAGATATCTCATTATGTGTATACAAATACCTCAGTACTTAAAAAAAAAACCAAATCCATAATACCACTGGTCCCAATCATTTTATAGAAAGAAGTTTCTCAGGCATGGGTATAAGAATGACATGGTTTCCTCAATGATGTGCTTAACTTATTTCATTGTGAAGAGAGCTGTATGGGGATTGGCATTCATTATTCCACCACAGATCCATCAAGTGTGTGTGGTATAGGAAGCAGCTGAAGTCATGGAAACATAGTTCTGATCCCTCCCCCTTTACCTCTTCTTGTTGTTATTGTTCAAGTGCTTTATCCTTTTCCAAGCTTCAGTTTTCTGTCTATAAAATGGGATAATAATAGTTGTCTCTAATGGTGGTTTGTATTAAAGCATACCAATGATAATATCAATGACATATTACACATTTTCTGTTAGCAAGTGATCAATAAAGTAGGTTATGTTTACTGTCACATTATTAGTGTGTACTGTGAGAGGGTACTTGGGATTGTTTATAGAGGGACAGTGCTCGGGATGCAGCTCAGGGCCTTGTGCCTGCAAGGCAAGCACTCCACCACTTAGCTGTATCCTCAGCTGGGAGGGTATTTTGGGATCAAGGCAGAAGTTCTGTGTTCTGTTGGGATTTCTATTGGGATGAGAATATTTGACAAGTTAGACATATTTTGTGTGCATCGCTTTTCTTTCTTAATTAGCTATGAGACATTACATTATTATATGAATTTCAGTTTAATTATTAGTGCTCTTCTGATATTTTGTATGTTTTGTTCTAGGATTTAAAGAAGTACCACTTCTACTATTGGTTTTGCTATCCTGCCCTCTGTCTTCCAGAGAGTATTCCTCTTATTCAGGGGCCAGTAGGTTTGGATCAAAGGTTTTCATCAAAACAGGTATTAGCCTATAAAACAAATTCAGATAAAGTTGAGTTTAAGCAAACAGGAACACCTCTGGATGAAGAGGTGGTACTAGAATCCTCCAAAGACCAGATTATTCACAAATTGTGAAGTCGTTTGCTAGAGGTAGAGAACAGTATTCCATAGTATGGAATTAAATAGGTATTCCATGGTATTTGGTGAAAGACTAACCCTGCAGGGAGGAATTATAGGAACATTTTGAAAGGCTGGAAGCATTTATCAAAATGTGGTTTTTGCTTTCAGTGTGGAGAAATATAAAGCAATATCTTTGGGGAAGAAAATCTTTGAAACAAAATATAAGAGTTTCCACCACCCTCACACTAAAGTAGCAGAATGTCTCCATCATGCAGAACTAGGCATTGCCATTTAAGGAGGGCATTAGAGATTAGTCCTGAGAAGAGCAATTAAATTAATTAGGCTGGTGGAACACAGACCCCAAACTAGAGAATTTTGATTATTGTTTAAGGCAAAGATTGAATATTAAGATCATTTTAATTCAAGAAGCATATCAGTCACTAAAAGCTTATATTCTGAAGCCATAGAGCAGCTGCTAATGATTATAATAGCAATAATAATAATAATAATAATTAGAACAAATTCAAGGTTGTGGTTTTACCTGACTAATTTGTCAAAAAGAAATCTACATTGGGGTAAAAATGATTATGAATGAGATGGACTGCTTGTGGGTGTGGGGTTTCTTTTAAGGAGAGCAAAAATGTTCTGAAATTATCTCAGTGATGGTTGTACAATTCTGTGAACATACTAAAAATAACCATTGAGTTATATACTTTAAATGGACAATTTGTATAGTATATCTTAATAAAGCCGTTAAAGATTATGATAAAATTTATCAGTGGTAGGTTTATGTTCACAGGAAAGATAGAATACTTTGACCACCTCTCTCAGCCTCTGTGATTGACAACTTAGGGAACCACCACGCTGTACCATAAAATGTCCCTTTGTTTCCCTAAGACACATCACCATACACATAGAAAGTGTTATGTAAAAGTCAAATGGTGTTATTAGGAGGCACTTTTGTGTTTATTTGCTACAAAAATCCAACAGGGTTTTGGTCAGTCATTTGTAGTCTTTTGGCTTTAAGGTACTTTGTATTTAATATCAGCTTTTAACTCAGAGGTAGATATGTAATTTTCTAGAGAGTAACTTCACATTTTCTGTTTTCAGATTCAAGCCCTTGAGCGGGCATATGATGATCTTTGTCAAACAGAAGGTGTCACAGCCCTACCATACTTCCTAATCAAGTATGATGACAACATGGTGCGAGTTTCCTTGCTTAAGCACTACAGTGATTTCTTCCAAGGTCAAAGGATAAAGGTCAGAGAAACTTTGAGTATTTAGTTATCTGGTTAAAGAAAAAAATCTCAAGTTCATATTATAATAGACTGCTAAAAAATTTAAAATTAGATTTCTTCCACCCTCCAAATGATGTTGTTGAACATTTCTTATATCTGTCCTCTCCTACCCTTACTGTTCTCAAACCAGCTCCTCTTTTACATTGCTCCAGTTCTCTTATAGCTCCCAGTAATTTTGGATTCCTCACTTCCTATTAGTGATAAAGGTTATTTCGATTTTCTGTCCTGATGTATTTTACTCCTGTGTTTTCATTTTTATTCTCGGTGCTAACACTGTAGCTCAGGCCCTCCTTTTCTCACTCCTGGATATTTGGAATCTTCTTGCTGCCATCTTGCATGACTCTAATATGGAAAAATCTTCCTCAAACTACTTACATTCACTCTGTCGTTCATTGGCCAGAAGCCTAATGGTGACTTCCTTCTGGCTCAGGCTATCTTTCAGTCTCCTACTATTTTCCTCATAAATATTTACTCCAGCTAATCCTATCTGTTTTTTACCAGACCATCCCTTCTGCCACCCAATCAAATATACATAGACCTTTTTCGCGTATCTTCCTTTTCCTCACACACTATCATCTTCCTGAAACATTTCCTGAGAAACTCTTGCTCTCCTTATTGCAATTCTCCTTTCATTATGAAATGTTCTCATGGGGGTGGCCATGTATGATCTCTCCCTATCTGGACTCACTACACTTATTCCTAATCTGCATTTAGAGTACCTTGTCTGGATTCCTTTCCATGCAGTTTTAGACTGTAAGCTCCTGGAGGGCAAGGCCCATGTCTCATGGATCTGTGTCTGCATAGTGTCTAGCATTTGTCTGGGGCCCCCAGTAAGGTTCTTTTGAATGAATGAAACAGTCCTGAGTCTTTTAGAAGCAAGGATAACACTAGTAAACTGTCTTAGCTGTATGGGAGACGGTGAATTAAAAATAAACGATCGTTGAGTATTGTGAAATGAAGTGGAATAATGTCATAGCTATGTACATATATCAGAGCTAAGAAAAGAGAGTCCCTTAACTGATGGCCCAATTATCCCTTAGCCTAAATTTAGGATGTCTTTTTTTTTAATCATCAGCAGCATTAGCATTTTTCTTTTCAGAGGCAGCCCTTTTCACAGTGAGTACCAAGAATTGAGTTTTTTTTTTAAATTCTTAATTTCTCCAGATGATTTCATAGAACTACAGCTAAATTAGTGGCAATAAGACTAATCACTGATAATTTTCTTTTTTGGTGCTGAGGATTGAACCTAGAGCCTTGCTCATGCAAAGCACACACTTTACCATAGAGCTAAACCCTAAACCCAAGTGTGAGGTTCTTTTGTGACAGCAGGCAGGGCTTGCTCAAAAGCAGCCATAGGTCAGGTTGAATGTGGTAAATAAATACCTCCCACAAAGTGCCACTCTACCAAAATAATAACAATCTGCAGAGCAGTCTACACTTTGAAAGGGGCTTTTGCAAACTTGATGTTTTTATAATAACTGTGAAATAGGTGTTACAGTGTCTGCATTTTCCATTTGAAGAATAAGAAATTGAAAGTTGCCAGAGTCAACGGTATGCTTCCAAAGCCCCTGTGCTTTCTGCCATCTCTCTTTTACGTCTCTCAGGTGGAGGCTTGACCTTGGGAATCTAAAAGAGATCTATATTTGACACCAGCATTGCCACGGTTAGTTCTGTGATCTTCGGAAAACTGCAAAACCTGTCCTCACCTTAGTTCTTCTATTACGTGTTACCAACACTACCTCCTTACACACGTTTGTAATGATTAAATATGATAATATAAAATGGCTGGCATGTAGCAGGTGCACAGTATGTATGCACTTCCCCAGCAGCAGCATATTTTTGAAAGACTGAAGAGATCTTGGGGCCTCCTCCTAAGAGCTCTTGGGGATTCACTAGTATCCAACCCTGAGACTCTGCCAATGTCAGGCATAATGTCCTTCACTTTGTTAGAGGTGTATCAGTTGGTTAGAGCCAGGCTTTAGAAAAGCCTGGAATTACTCAGTACATATGTTGAGCACCTCCTTCTGGGCTAGAAATCACAAGATATGATTATACCTGTTCTCACAGAACCTAAGTCTTCTGTGGGAGATGCAGCACTCACTGACTTGTGGAAAGTTAACCAGGAATTTAGGTAATGGAAGAGAAGGGCCATAGAAATGACACTTGGGTTGTTTGTCTATGCCCTGGGTTATTCTAGTAGGGATCACCAGAAGCTGTGCAGACTGATGACCTCATAAGGATTCTCATGGCCTCCCAGCCACAGGCCTGAATGTTCCCTCAGTCCTCTGCAGGGCTGTACACAGGCATGTTCTAACATTTGATTATGTCACTCTTCTTCTTGAAAAACCCTTACTGTGGACTTCAGGATGAAGTTAAAACTTCTTGGGCTGGGGCTGGGGCTCAGTGGCGGAGTGCTTGCCTAGCACATGCAAGGCACTGGATTTGATCCTTAGTACTGCAAACAAAAATGAGCAAATAAAATAAAGTCATGTTGTCCATCTACAGCTACAAAAAAAAAAAAAAAAAAAAAAAAAAAAACAAACCAAAAAACCCCATGTTATCTTGGAATTCAAAACCACTTCACATCTGGCTTTTGCCATTACTCCAGCCTTACCCATTGCTCACCTCTTTATATTTCCCAAGATGGAGCCTGTGCCCTGGCTAGTGCTGTGCTCTCCAATGCTGCATGCTTTTCCCACCTCTCTGCCATCAGATATCCCTTTCATGTCCGTCTCCACATCCCTCTTCTTTCTGTCCCTGTCTGGTGCCTTGCTCAACATTCTGATTCATCTCTTCAGGAAGCACCAGCTGACTTTGCACTGTTTCAGAGGCCTCTTTTGGGTTCTCCTTCCCAGTACCATCTGAGCTCTGAAGTGCTTGCTGGTTTGCTTATCTGCATGTCCACATCCCTAGCCCTCACCCCCTCCTCTTACCAGTACTTTGATCCCCAAGATGTCACTATTCCTCTCTGAGCTTTGTGTGTTCACACATAAAAGAATGGAGAAATGTTGGAATCCTGCCAGTGTTCTCTTTTTTTCAGTGTATTTTCTCTTCTGGGCAATATCATTGTGTCCACGTCTTCGGTAACCATTTCCTCATGCATGACCCGCTTTGCTACCACCAACCTGAACCTCCCTCTGGACCCCCAAACCACTTTATCTAGCCTTCTGCTGACCTTCTGCAACCCCATGCATTCAACACACACCACCTGAACCAGCCCAAGGCTGGGCAGCACCATCTCAGAATGACAGTGCCTCCTTCCAGTTGCAGGAGCCAGAAATCTGGATCTCCTGCTGGATACCTTTCTGCCTCTCACCACCCCTATATCCACTGGATTTCCTATCTTGAACTTAGTCTGCTGCCTTTGGGTTTCTTCTGCCACCACTCCCATCTAATCTACAATCATTTTTCATCTGTGTCACTGTAATATTTTCCAAATGAGTCTTGTCTGATTTACTTTGGCCTCTTGTTCATTCCTGCATCATTTAAAGTGATCATTGGCAAAGCAGATCGGATCACATCCCCCCAAATGAAACACCTGATTGCCTTCACTGAACTCTAAGAATAGGAACTGGATTTTTTTATTATGGCACACAGAGTCAGTGACTTGGCCCCTGTGTGGATCCATCCTCAAATTGTGCATGTCCCCTGTCACAGGGTCTTTTGCAAGCTCTGTTAGCCTGGAACACCCTTCTCTCTCCTTTCTCTTCTCCCCACCTCCACCACACTCATACCCTTTTCCCCATCAAGTGCTTACTCTTTCTTCAAATTTAAATGTAATCATTATTTTCTCAAGGAAAATTCTTTGACCTCTATTAAAAAGGTTTATTTTTCTTGTTGTGGGCTCTTTAGCACTGTATATCCCTTCTTTGGGGTATTTATTTTAGCACATGAGTAATTTTATATTTTCTTGGGTAATCTTTGATTAGTATATTTTCCCCCATTTAAATGTAAGCTCCTAACCGGGTGAGGTGGTTTACACCTACAATCCCAACTAGGGGGGCTGAGGCAGGAGGATGGCAAATTCAAGTTCAGCTTGCAAAACTTAGCTAAATTTTGTCTCCAAAAATGAAAAAAGCTAGAGATGTGACTCAGTGATAAGAACACCTCTGGGTTCAATTCCCACTACTGCCAAAATAAATAAATAACATAAATGTAATTTCTGTCAGGACTCTATGTCTGATCTCCCACCACTGCACTTGTGACCTGTGGTGTCATGCCTGGTGTGTAAAACATGTTGGAAGAATGAGTTCAGGTATGAATGAGTTGTAAGGACTGGGGAATTCCATTTTGGAAGCTCCTGAGTCAGTGCCTCCCACACAGTGGGCCTTAAGGAAGTCAAGGCAGCTCTTAGGATGGCTCATTGTAAGTGCTGTCTTTTAACATGAACATTTCATTCTGATGTAGGCCAGGAAGTTTATAAAAACTTTCCCAAATTGTCTATATACCTGAAATTTATGTGCAGTGAGTCAGAGAGGTCATTAGTGTTCTCACAGGAGAGAGGCTAGAGGGCAAGTATGTGATCTGCAATGGGTAATTTAGTTTTGGGGTCATTGGAACAAATGCATAACCTCTGAGAATTCAGTAGAAGCCATGGATCCCCTGCAGAAAAGACACACCCGCATCCAACTCTACATCTAATGTCAGGATTCACAGAGTGCTGAAACCCATTCATGGGTCCTCTCTGCATCCCTGTCTTGAAGAAGGATGAAGGGAATTTTAATAGTGGTTAGCTTTCCTGGGAGGGAGCTTGTAGGATTGCTGGGGTCAGGGGGCAATAGGCCATCTTTGTTCTAAATTTAAGTGGGACCTTTGCCTCCAGAAGTGCTGTTCACTTGTGTGAGAAGGCTTGGCTGGCTCTGGGTAGTGGGTACCTGTCCCTGAAGAGGGCACTTTGCTAGCCATCAGCAGCTACAGTGGCCATGATCAGGGTTCTAATCATGTGCCCAGCACAGAGCTAGG